CGTCTAGACCCGAAACGTCAGCCTTCCTGCTCCTATGATGCTGCTTGGCCTGCTGTGTTCATCCAGCTCTACACCTTGTTATCTCAGATTTTCCAGCATCTGCAGTTCCTACTATCTCTGACACCATCCAAGACAAAGCAGCTCTGTTGATTAGCACCCCATCCACCACTTTCAACATTTACTCCCTCATCACAGAAGCACAGTAGCAGCAGTGTGTACCATCTACAAGACACACTGTAGCAAATCACTCAGGCTCCTTCACCAGCACCTTCCAAACAGATGACCTCTACCACCTAGAAGGATAAGGGCTGCAGATGCTAGGGAACACTGCCACATCTCTCCAAGCAACACATCATCCTGCTTGGAACTATACTGACATTTATTTACTGTTGCAGGGTCAAAATCTGAAACTCCCTTCTGAACAGCATTGTGGGTGTCTCAACATCTTAAAGACTCTAAGTAGTTTAAGAAGGCAGCTCACCATCATTTTCTCCAAGATAATTAGGAGGTGGCCTTGCCAGTGATGCCCACAGATGAACAAATGATAAAAAGAAATAAAAAATCTGAATGTAGCAGCCCTTCTAGCATCAGAAATTATCCTTGGAATATGCTATCTAATTTTGCAGGAAAAACTCAGTAAATTTCTACCCATATGAGTAGTGTTATAGGTTATTGGAGACTTTGAACTCTTTGGTATCTCACCAAGTGATCAGTGACTAAGTCAAGAGGACTTTGTGTCTTGTGTCACCCCCTCCCAGCTGGTAGCAAAGTCACTGCTAGGGAAACCAGCAGCTGTAGCCATAAGAAATTTCACTTTTTTTTCTTCACACAGCCAGGGGGCTTAAAGCCAATGGTTGTATCCCGAAAGCCACATTAACTGTTCTTGGCCAACCAACCAATATCAGGCACTGCTCCCGAAATCTGGGCCTAGCTAGCTCAGTGCCACAACTAGTGTGACAATTACACAGTCAACCACTTTGAGAAGTGCTCCTGCAAATCATTAAACAGTTCTGACCCACAGCAGCACTGACTGAAGCTGAGGCAACAGCCTCTACATTCAGATTTGACACCTGCTTAATAGCATGCGATGTAATGTCAGCACAGTAAAACAAAACTAATAACTTAATGTATATTTAATTTGCAAAATTAATTACCACAAGAGGGACTGGATTTGGAGATACGCCTGCTTCCATGTTTGAGGATGACGGCACAATGCTCCCCTCTGAAACTCTTCTTCGCTTCCGTTTGTGTGTTGCATCTTGTTTGGATGCTAAAAAGAATTAAAAGGTAAATGTACACAATATTTCAACAGCTAATATGATTCAACAAAACTACATCATCAAGCTGTGAGGATTGACAACAGTTTCCTATTCTACAAGCTGATACCGTGCACCTTATTCCCCTATCAATGATCTTCCTTTCCACTCCTGAGTATGCAAAATCCTGTTGGGACCACTAGGGATTTCTCCATTTGTTTTTGTATATTGTCAAACATCAGTTAATCTTTATTAGAACTGGATTGTAATTCCCTCCAGAGAACACAAGTTCAAACCCCACCATGGCAATTTGAGAGTTTGAATTTAATTAAAAGTAAAATGAAGAAACAAAAAGCTGTGAGCCATGAAAGTAAGAAAATCTGACAAACAACTTAGATCTGTATGGCACCTAATTATATGAAATATCCAATGGCTGTTCATAGCAGCATGATAAAAAAAAAAACATGAAACTAAGACACATTTGACGATTCTAGGTCAGATAACTGAAGATTTGTCCAAACTAGTGAGGAATACTTGGAGGAAGAAAGCAAGGCCATGAGGTGGAAAAGTGTAGGAAAGGAGATCCAGAGCTTGGGACCTAGGCAAATGAAGGCATGACCACCCATGAGGAAGGATAAAAATCTTGGCTGATCAAGGGACAAGAATGAGAAGAGACTGCCAATATGTCAAAAGATTGTGGCATTGGAGATTACAGAGACTGGGTGGAACAAGCAACTGGTAACAAGGATGAGAATTTTAAAATCAGGATGTGCTGACTAACTGTCATTGTAGGTCAGCTCAGGGGGTGACAGGTGAGTGGGACTTGATAAGATCCACTTATTCAACATTACCCTTCAGGGAAGGAGATCTGCCATTCCAACTTGGCATATATGCGACTCCAGTCCTGCACCAATGTGGTTGAGCCTTAACTGCCTCATGAGCCCCCACACACACATGCGCACACATACGTAATATGTGCACATACAAGGACACTCGCAAATGGACATATACACTTAGACTCATGTACATATGCAAATGCACAAATTGCACCAGCTGAGGTGGTCACCTGGGAACACTGTTCTCAGTACTGAGTAGTGATTCAATAAGGCAGAAGAGTAGCCACTGACACTACCAGTTCATTCTACTATAACATGATAGTTATATTCTTGCGTAACCTTGTGCTACAGAAAATTGCCTTGAAAATCACATTATAGGGAAATTGCTATAGAAAATCACTATACCTGTACAGCAGAAAGTTGGCATTATGCAAAAAGCGTTCACTATCCATCAATTGTGTTACAGCCAATTTGCATTAACAAGACACACATTACAGCACAACTACCTGTACTGCAGCCCTACTACTTTGCAGAAGTCAATAAACAGCATTTGGCAGCAGGACTGGGAACTCAACTGCCCTTCCCCATAAACAATCTCAGTATCGGTACTGTCTCTGGGTGTAAATCAGGGATCAAAGGCATGCATAATCCTGGTCCATTTAAGTGGAGAATCTACTAACATCTCCATTAGGGGAGCTGGTGTGGGAACATTTTGAATGTATTGACTGGAGGATTAGATAGTATAGTTTCTCACCTGATTTTGATGCTTCATTACAAATCTCTGCAAAAGGCCTGTAAAAGATTAAAAAATGAAAACAAGTCAGTTAACAATGACTAAAGTGAAGCCACTACTGACATTTACTTCAATGGTAGATCTGGAGGTGTGCTTTCCTTCCTCATTAGTTACTGCTGCAGTGTGCCATTCTTTAAGTATCATATGAATTACTGGCATACACTCTCTGACTTCAAAAAGCAGCAACCAGGAAGATTGGTGTGGCCCCTCACACTCACCAGAAGTCAAGTTATAGGAACATACAACTTAGGAGCAGGGAGAGGCCATTTGGTCCTTCAAGCCTGCTCCACCATTCAATAGTATCATGGTTGATCTGATTGTAATCTCAGCGCTACTTTCTTGTCTGTGCCCATATCCCTTGGCTATTGCAAACCTACCTGACTCAGCCTAGAAAAACTTAAAGACCCACTTCCATTATTTCAGGGGAAGAGAATTCCATACTCAAATGACCCTTTAAATGAAAGTAAATCTCCCTATTTCTATCTAAAAAGCCAACCTCCTATTCTTAAACTATGTCCTCTAGTTTTATTCTCCTCCACAATGGGTCCTCTTTTGTTTGTCATTTATATAAATGATTTGGATGAGAATATAGGAGGCATGGTTAGTATGTTTGTGGACGACTTCAAAATTGGTTGCATAGTAGACAGTGAAGAAGTTTTTCTAAGATGACAAAGGGATCTTGATCAAGTAGGTCAATGGGTTGAAAAATGGCAGATGAGGTTCAATCTAGATAAATGTGAGGTATTGCATTGTGGTACAACAAACAAGGGTAGGGCTTATACAATTAATGGTGGGGCTTTGGGTAGTAAAAACCAAAAGAACTGTGGATACTAAATCAGGAACAAAAACAGAAGTTGCTTGAAAAGCTCAGCAGGTCTGGCAGCATCTGTGAGGTAAAAAATCAAAGTTAAAGTTTTGGGTCCGGTGACCCTTTTTCAGAACTGTGTTGTAGAACAGAAGGACCTTAGGGTGCAGGTTCATAATTTTTTGAAGTTTGCATCATATACAGACAAGGTGGTTAAAAAGAAGTTTGGCATGCTTGCCTTCATTGCTCAATCCTTTTAGTATAAGAGTTGGGAAGTCATGCTGAGGTTGACAGGACATTAGTGAGGCTTACTCTGTCCAGTTCTGGTCACCCAGTTATAGGAAAGATATTATTAAGCCAGAGAGGGTTCAGAAGTCATTTATCAGGATGTTGCCAGGTATGGAAGGTTAGAGTTATAGAGAAAGGCTGGGACTTTTTTCACTGGGGCATAGGAGGTTGAGAGGCAACCTGATAGAAGTTTATAAAATAATGAGATGTATAGGTAGAGTTAATAGTAGTTGTCTTTTCCTTAGGACAGAGGATCTTAAGACTAGGGGGCACATTTTGAAGGTGAGAAGAAAGAGATTTAGAAAAGACATGAGATGCAAATTTTTTACACAGCGGGTGGTTCACTTGTGGAATGAACTTCCTGAGGAAGTGGTGGATGCAGATACAATTACAACGTTTAAAAGACATTTGGATAGATACACGAATAGGAAAGGTTTGGAGGGATATAGGGCCAGGAGCAGGCAGGTGGGACTAGTTTAGTTTGGGATAATGTTTAGCATGAGCTGGTCAGACGGAAGGGTCTGTTTCCGTGCTGTATGACTCTAAGAGGAAACCCTCTCAGTATCCACACTGTCCAGTCCCCTCAAGATCTTACGATGTTACAATAAGATCACCTGCCAGTCTTCTAAATTCCAATGAATTCGGGCTGTGCCCATTCAACCTTTTCTCATCAGATAAGCCCTTCACTCCAGAAGTGAGTAAAGTGAACTTTCTGTGAACTGCTTCTGAAGCAGTAGCTTATTTCAAGTAAGGAAATCAAAACTACATGGTATTCCAGATGTGGTCTCATCAATGGCCTGCACAGCTGCAGTAAAACCTATTTTTATATTGCATTCCCCCAAAAATAAAGAACAATATTCCATTCACCTTCCTAATCACTTGCTGTAACTCCATTCCAATTTTATGTGGTTCATGTAGCAGGACACCCAGATCCTTCTGCACCACTGAGTTCCGCAATCTCTCTCCATTTAAATAGTTTACTGCTTAGGTCAGTAAATGCGGCTGCTAATTTGCACACAGCAAGGGATTGGAGTCATGAAGTGGATAAATGAACCAAAATTGTATTTTTGGTAGTATCGTTGATGGAACCAGGAAATCAAGAGAATTAGGTGAAAACATGTAAAGGTAAAGAGGCTTCTGGGTAATTTAGATAAGTTGAGTGAGTCGGCAAATATGTGGCAGATGCATTATGGCCTGAATAAATGTGAAGTTGCCCACTTCAGCAGGAAAACCAGAATGGCAGGGATTATTTAAATTGTGATAGATGGGGAACGGTTGATATACATAGGGATCTGGGTGTCCTTGTGCACCAGGCATTGGAAGGGACGGAGTACAGGAACAAGGATGTCTTGTTGCAGCTGTACATGGCCTTAGTGAAACCAGACCTGGATTATTGTGTGCAGTTTTAGCCCCCTCTGCCAAGAAAAAATTACTTGCAATTGAGAGAGTGCAGTGAAAGTTCACCAGACTGATTCTGTGGATGGCAGATTTGTCAAACAATGATAGATTGGATCAACTGGGCCAGTATTCACTGGTGTTTAAAACAATGAAAGGAGATCGCATTGAAACACAAAGTTCTGACAGGGCTGGATAGACTGGATGCAGGAATGATGTTTCCACTGGTTGGGGCTCTAGGATAAAAGGGACACAGTGTCAAGATTGTTTCAGAGATAGTAGGAGCTGCAGATGCTGGAGAAACTGAGATAACAAGACCTTCTTCAGAAAGGTCTAGGCCCAAAACGTCAGCCTTCCTGCGCCTCTGATGCTGCTTGGCCTGCTGTGTTCATCCAGCTCTACACCTTGTTATCACAGTGTCAAGATTTGCAGTTTTCGGACTGAGGTTAGGAAAAATGTTTTCACTCATGGGGTGGTAAGCCTCTGGAGTTCACTACCACAGAAGGCTGTAGAGACAAAGTCACTGAATATATGTAAGAAAGGAATAGATAGGTTTCTTTAAGTTAAAGGTGTCAAGGGGGTATGGGGAGAGAGCAGGATATGGTTTTGAGATGAAGATCGGCCATGATCATGTTGAATGGTGGATTGGGCTCAATGGGTTGAATGGCCTACTCCTCCTATTTTCTACATTGCTAAGTTTTAAATATTTTAAAATTCTGTCACAGAATCTGTTATGACCACTGAGAGTCATGGAGTCATACAGCACAGAAACAGACTCTTTCGTCCAACCAGTCCATGCCGAACATCATCCCAAACTAAATTAGTCCCACAGCCTGCTCCTGGCCCATATCCCTCCAAACCATTCCTATTCATGTATCTATCCAAATGTCTTTTAACCTTTGTAATTGTACCCGCATCCACCACTTGCTCAGGAAGTTCATTGCACACGTGAACAACTCTGTGTAAAAAATTTGCCTCATGTCTTTTTTAAATCTCTCTCCTCTCAGCTAGTCTTGAAATCCCCTGCCCTAAGGAAAAGGCAACTACCATTAACTCCATCTATACCTCTCATTATTTTATAGGCTTTTTCCAAGTCACCTCTCAACCTCCTACACTCCGATGAAAAATGTCCCCGCCAATCCAGCCTTTCTTTACAACTCAAACCTTCCATACCTAGTAACATCCTGGTAAATGACTTCTGAACCCTCTCCAGCTTGCTAATATCCTTCCTATAACTGGACAACCAGAACTGGATGCAGTATTCCAGAAGAAGCCTCACCAATGTCCTGTACAACCTCTGCATGACTTCCAAACTCCTATACTCAAAGGACTGAGCAATGAAGTTAAGTGTGCCAAACACCTTTTTAACTGATAACAAGGTGTAGAGCTGGATGAACACAGCAGGCCAAGCAGCATCAGAGGAGCAGGAAAGCTGATGTTTCGGGTCGAGACCCTTCTTCAGAACTGGGGGAGGGGAAGGGGATTCTGAAATAAATAGGGAGAGAGGGGGAGGCGGATAGAAGATGGATAAAGGAGAAAATAGGTGGAGAGGAGACAGACAGATCAAAGAGGCAGGGTTGGAGCCAGTAAAGGTGAATGTAGGTGCGGAGTTAGGGACGGGATAGGTTGGTCCAGGGAGGACGGACAGGTCAAGGAGGCAGGATGAGGTTAGTGGGTAGGAGATGGGGGTGGGGCTTGAGGTGGGAAGAATGGTTAGGGAGGCGGGAACAAGGTGGGCTGGTTTTGGGATGCGGTCGGGGGAGGGGAGATTTTGAAGCTTGTGAAGTCCACATTAACACCATTGGGCTGCAGGGTTCCCAAGCAAAATATGAGATGCTGTTCCTGCAGCTTTTGGGTGCCATCATTGTGGCAACCTTTTTAACTACCCTGTCTATATGTGACACAAACTTCAAAGAAATATGTACTTTCACCCTTAGGTCCCTCTGTTCTACAATACTACCCAAAGCCCCACCATTAATTGTATAAGCCCTACCCTTGATCATTGTATCAAAATGTCTATTTGCCATTTTTCAGCCCATTGACCCATTTGATCAAGATCCCTTTGTAATCTTAGAAAACCTTCTTCACTGTCTATAATGCCACCAATTTTGGTGTCATCCATAAACTTACTAACCATGCCTTCTATATTCTCATCCAAATCATGTGTATAAATGACAAACCAAAGAGAACCCAGAACTGATCCCTGTAGAACAGTGCTGGTCACAGGCCTCCAGTCTGAAAAGCAACCCTCCACCATTACTCTCTGTCTCCTACCATTAATCCAACTACGTATCCAATTGGCAAGCTCACCCTGAATCGCACGTGACATAACTTTACCAATTAGTCTAACATGCAGAACCTTGTTGAAGGCTTTACTAAAATCCAAATAAACAATGTCTACTGCTCTGCCATCGTTAATCTTTCTGGTAACTTCCTCAATCACGTCTGTGAAACACGATTTTCTCGCACAAAACCATGCTGACTATCCCTAATCAATTTTTGCCGAAGTGC